TCTTTTGTCTGTAGGCAACTCGTCTCAATAGCTATTGTAGGCGATTGTAGGTCGCTACGAATTGAATTTAGTTAGTAATCAAATTCACCCCTTCCTTTGGGAGATAGTTTCTGAGCTACGATTCTTTCCCAAGTTTTCGTCGCAATTCTTTTGACATCAAAAAGCAAAACTGTTCGGATATTTTGAAACTAGAAAACGTGTAGAGGTATACGGAATGTATTCAACCATTTTGTCTTACACCTAAGATTAGAAAGCCTTTAGTAACATATATATGGCCGACATGGATGGCTTCACAAGATAGACAAATTACAAAGCTGTAGAATGATCTTTTGTGAGGTTCAGATAACCTCTTTTTCTGCCTTCACTTTAAATCTTAGAAAATAAAAAAGCTTGTGATTTTAAATCTATTATCTATCTATTTCAGATAACCGGTACTTAATAGTAGGGACGCCACAGAAACCGCACAAGAGGGTAAACGTACACAAGAGTGCTTCTATGCCTGGCAGGCATAGGAACACACCTGTTTACATTTTTCTTCACGAAACTAGCATACTTCAGTTTCGTGGAAAAGTATTCGATTTGAGGAGTAAATCATTTCGAAAATTGGAAAAATCGACTCATACTTTGAAATACGTGAAATTTGCAGCTCCATGCGAGTGAAATTCTCCAAATATTCGCCATCGCAAACGGCCAACAGTCTGAGTGGCAAAACTACTAATGAGCCCATACATTAATATTGTTTTTGAAACTTCTAACTTTTAACATCGGGTGGCTGGGAAAATTTGTTTCGATGTAACAGGGTGAATGTCGCAGAGAAGGTTAAATATTCACTATATTTCGATTATTCAGAACCCCATTTTTCGTAGCTTGAAAGGAGCGCTACCACAGCTACGTCGAGACAGCAGGAGATTGAAATGTCGAGAAATGGTGAGCTTGAACACGAAATATTATCGTCAGATACATTTAAGTGATTAAACACCTACGTTGCTTTTCTGATGTGATCAACGAGAACGAACCAGCGTTGATAATCGACTCAAAGCTGAACCCTTTCTTCTGCGACGATGAGTAGGTACAAATGGGTCGC